AAGTGGCTTCTTCCCTACCCAGCTCAGAAACGTCTTTCCGAGGAGAAAAACAGCAGGAACCCCCCCCCCCCCCGGCCAAATTCTCCATTCCCTAGGAAGTGCACTCTACCTCACTTCTCCCTCCATGTCTAGTTAAGCCACAGCTAGCCAGATGGGTGGGAAGGGACGGCCTTACCTGCACCAGCAGCTTCTGCTTGGCCTCCTCGTACTTGCTGGTCACGGCCTCCAGCTTCCTCTGGGCCTCCTTGGCCTCCCGCTGGCTCACTGCCACCAGTTTCTCAGAGTCTGCCTTAGCTGCCTCCAGCTCCTGGGCGTACTTCTGCTTGGCCTGGGCCAGCTCCACATCCAGGCGCTGCAGCCCATGGCTGGACCTTTCGCTGAGCACCCGGTTCTCCTCGGCCAGCTGAGCGTGGGCCCGCTGGAGCGTGGCCAGGCGCTCCGCGTAGCTCCCGTTCTCCACCTGCAGCTGCTGGACGGCGCGTTCTTGCTCGAGGCACCTCTCCTTGAGGGACAGCAGCTCAGAGAGCTCCAGTTTGGCTCGGGCCAGCTCGGCCTGCAGGACCCCTGCCGCCTCCTGCATCTGTTCCGCCTCCTCCCGGTGCTTGCTCTCTTGGGAGGCCTGCTCCACCTGTAGCTGCTGGTAGAGACCCTTGATGGGCATCAGCTCCCCAATCAAGGCCTGGGCGTTGACAAGCTCCTGTTGCCGGGAGGAGAGGAGCTGGTCCTTCTGGAAGACCTTCTCCTGCCAGGACTTCAGCTCTTTGCAGAGATCCTCCTCCCGCTTGGAGCAGACGTTCAGCTCCTTCTTCATGGCCTCCACGGAAACCCTCATTTTTTCCGCCTGCTCCTGGAAGGTCTGGGCTTCCACTTTCATGGCCGAGCATCTCTCCACCGCTCGAGAAGCCGCAGTGGCCATCTCGGACTGGAGGAGCCGCAGCCTCTCCTCCAGCTTCTTGCTCTTCTCCGACTCCGCCATGACCAGCCGCCTGAGGTCCTTGCTCTCGGCTTCCTTCTCCAGCAGCTGCCTGTGCATGATGGACATCTCCTGCTCCAGGCTGCCAATGATGCTGGCCTTCCTCTCGGCCTCTTGGCGGCAGCGTGACATTTCCTCCTTCCAGCTCTCTTCCGACCTGCCCTTCTCCTGAGCCGACGCGCGCAGAGAAGCCAGCTCCTTCTCTGCTCTTGAAACCGCCTCTCGGCTCTGGGCCAGCTGTTCTCCCTTTTCAAGTAGTTCCCTCTTCAGTTTCTCAACCGTGACCTCCTGGGTGGACCTGGAAGCTTCCAGAAGCTTCTCCAGCTCAGAGGCTCTCTGCTTGTGCTGTGCTATGTCCTGCTTTAAGGCCTCCGCCTCGGTTTGCTGCTGTTGCTCCGAGGCAGCCACCACCTTCTCCAGCCTGGCCAGGGTGCTCTGCTGCTCTCGGCACTGCCGTTCCAGCTTCCCCACCTGGCCGCGGAGGGCCTCGCACTCCTTCAGCTGCTTCTCGTGGTTCTCCCGACTAGAAGCCCGCTCCCGCTCCAAGTGGCGTTTCTCCTCCTCCAGGTTCTTGAGCAAAAGGTCCCTGGACTGAATCGTGGATTTCAGGCTGTCCATCTCGGCCTCCTGAGTCCTGGTGACTTCCAGGAAGCCCTGCAGCTCATGCTCCATTTTGGCTTCCCTCTCCTTCAGAGCCTCCACTGCGGCCAGCTCGCCCTTCAGCTTGCTGACTGTCTTCTGGAGGTCCCTCAGCTCCTCGCTGCGGGAGACGTTCTTCAGGCGCAGCTCTTCCAGCTCCCGCTCTTTCTCCCCCAGCAGGTCCTGGGCTCTGGTCACCTCTTCCTGGAGACCAGAGACCTCCACCCGGTGCTCATTGGTGATGTTCTGCAGCTGCACCTCCAGGGCAGTCTTGCCGGCCTTCTCAGCCGCCAGCTCAGCTGTGGCTTGCTCCTTCTCAGCCGCCAGTCGCTTTGCTTCTTCCTCACAGCGAGCTAGCTCGCGTTTCTGCTGCTGGGTGGCCTCCTCTAGCTTGGCTCTCAGTGACTTCACCTGGCTAGAGAGCTGTTCCACTTCCTTCTCTTTCTCCTTCAGGGTGGACCTAACGTTGGACACATTTGACTCTGCTGCGGCCCGGTCTTTGTGGCTCTGCTCTCCCAGCTGCTTCACTCTGGCCTCCAACTCTGATCTTCTGTGTCTCTCCTCGGTCAGCTCTCGGTTGGCTGCTTCAAGGGCCTGGGCTGCCTTGTGCTCATCCTTTTTGGCTTGTGCCAGGCTCTCAGTGGCCTTCTGGCGAGCGGCTGCCAGCTCCTCCTGCAAAGAAGCAAATTCAGCCTTCAGCTTCTTCTCTGCCTCCTCTTTCTCCTTGACCTGGGAAGCAGAACGAGACATCTCAGCTTGGAGCTGAGCCAGGGTTTCTTTGTGTTTGGCGTTCAGATGCTTTATCTGGGCTTCCAGCATGGCTCCCTTCTCCTGCTCAGCCTTCAGCTTTTGCTCGGCCTGCTCCCGCTCCGTGCTGAGGCATCGGACCTTCTCCTCCAGCTTCACACAGTCTCCTCTCTCTCCTCCAGCAGGAGAGGACAAGGCCATCAGTTGCTTCTGAAGCTCCTCCACTTTGATCCTGGATTCCTCTTGCAGGAGCTGCACGTGTGCTTCCAAAACTTGCCTCCTGGCCTTCTCCTCTTCCATTTCCTGCACAGCCTGGTCCCGGTGCTTGGTCAGTTCCTGGATCTGCTCGTCCAGCTCCGCGATCCGCCGCAGATTGCTCTCCAGAGACTCTGCTGCCCTCCTTTTCTCGTCCTCCAAGATGCCTTCCGTGTTGCGGACAGACTCCTCCAGGATCAGCAGCCGCTCCTGGAGACGGGTGTTCTCCTTGGCCAGCTTCTCCTTCTCAGCGAGTTTCTGTTGGGCCTCTCGCAACTGGTTCTTTAGTGCTGGTATGGCTCCCACTTGGGCCTCATTTTGCTGGCACTGAGCACTAAGGGCCAAAATTCTGGCATCCAGTTCCTGGACCTTCTGGCTGAGTTCAGTCTTCTCCCTCTGAGCCTCCGTAGCAGAGGTGCTGTGAGCTTGCTCCAGAGACTTCAGATGCTCAGTCAGGGCAGAGAGCTCGGTCTCCTTCTGCTGGAGCTGCCTCAGGGCCAGCTCCTTTTCCTGGGCCACCCTGTTGTACTCTTCCTGACCAGCCACTTCCACTTGTGCCAGCTTCTCACCACTCTGCTTCAGGGCATTATTTAGCTGGTTGACCTGGAGGGTCAGCTCTTGAAAGGCTGCACTTGACACTTGCTCCTTTTTTTGCATGTCTTCTGCCAACTGGCTTTTCTGCAACCGCTCGGCTTCCACCTGCCGGTGCAAAGCAAGAAGTTCCTCATCCTTCTGCTGAAGGCAGCCGGTCAGGTTTGTGATCTTGGCGGTCAGGGCATTGACCTGAGCCATTAGGCAGGTGTCTTGTGCCTGCAGGTCCTGCTCCAGCTTCTCCTTGGCCCGAGAGATCTCGGAGAGAGAATTCTGCAGATCCGTAAGGAGGCCTGTGAGCTGGAGCTTCTCTGCTTCAAAGCTTCCCCTTTCTGACTGAAGGGTGGCCTCGAGCACATGCTTCTCCTCTTCAAGACGGAGAATGGCTGCCTGAAGTTCCGCTTGCTTGCCACCGAGTTGAGCCACTTGTTGATTCAGGTCTTCAAACTGTTGGAATAGAAAGTAAGTGGTGCATATGTGTGTGGATATATTCAGACAACATGGAGACGACCATCATCCCCTCCCTTCTGTCACTGTCTCTTAGTGATCCTAAGGCTCCATGCTGAGGCACACAACTCAAGGGGTTGTGAGAGGGTGAAGGAAGGGCTGGGAGGGACAAATGGGTTGCCTAACAATAAGGATGCTTGAAAGAGGACTGAACTGTCGGAGGAGAGGGTGGACTCCTGGACTTTGTCGGGCACACACAACCGTGTTCAACTTCACAGGTTTTAAACTGATGTGTTCTACGCTCCAGTTATAATGTGGCACTTGTATTTCATTTAAATGAAATGTGGGGCTTAACTCAGATGATTATGGGATGGCAACATGGAAGAATAAAGTACTCAGCCATGGGCCTGCCCCAACATGCAGTGGGCAGACGGGGCTCTTCTGCGCGAAAGCGGCAGCCAGCTGATTTCCAGGCTCAGTGCGAGAGGAACACTTTTCACTCTTCGACTTTCCAGGAACTCGGGACCAGGAGGTGCCCACACCTGCCTCCCACCATATCAGCCTGCCTAAGAATCTTGCATTCTGCAGATCCGGACCTCTTCACTTACCTGTAGCTCTCAAAACCCCTTCCCGAGGAAGGGTCTGCTGCCTGAGCCCTCCCATGTTCACTCCACAACAGGCAGCAAAGAGTGTTCCACAGCCAACGGCCTTTGCTGAGTGCCACCATGCAGCGAGCTGCACGAGGCTCCAGGCAAGGTGCACCAGCTTTTAGTTCCTTCTTTACAAAGACTCCTCGTGTTTTTATTGGCACTTCTGTTCTTTTTATTGCTCATGATATTTATTCTAACCACAGGGACTATTATATGTTTTATGCAGAGACGGGGCACAGATGCAGAAGCAAGAAAGACTTCTTAGAAGTGGGCTAAACTTTTATAAGCAGGAGAATATGTTTCAATGATTTATTTCTCTCCTCTTGGTCCATTTGGACCTTGCCAGTAAAGACTACTATGTTACATTAATTCATAATCGGAGCAAAACACACAGAGTCACTCTCAGGTAGCCCTATGCTCACTTTCAGGAAAGTCTCAGTGGCAAATACTTGATGTTTTTTTTTCGGGGATGAAGCCGGCATTGTACCCAATTATTCTCAAGGGTTCCAAAGAACCACCAGCACCACCATCTTCCCTTGGCAGAAGCCCAGACCCATTTCTGGCCCATGACTCCCCCCTTCTCTTGGAGGAATAACCGCCAAAGCCATCCACGCTCCTACCTTTAAGACATCGCCCATGACCTCGCCCTTTTCTGTCAGGGAGCTGCTCTCGGTCAGCTTGGTCAGCTGGTCCTCCAGCAGGGAGACCTTCCCTTGCAAAATCTCGACTTTCTCTTCCAAGCACCTCTGGAGAATAAGAACATATAAGAACCTAAGAGGAGCCCTGCGCTGGATCAGGCCATTGGCCCATCTAGTCCAGCTTCCTGGATCTCACTGTAGTCCCCCGCAGATGCCTGTGAGAGCACACGAGACAAGGAGATCCCTGTCTCCTGATCCCCCTTCCCCTGCATCTGGCATTTTACATAAGAGAATAAGAAGAGCCCTGTGCTGGATCAGGCCAAGAACCCATCTAGTCTGGCTTCCTGGATCTCAAAGTGACACCCACCAGATGCCTCTGGGAGCCCACGAGACTACGAGAGAGACTTGTCTCCTGATCCCCATCTTCCCCTGCCTCTGGCCTTTGGAGGTTCCTTCCTTTGAAGCCTGGAGATTAGACTTCCCCACCATGGCTTGCAGTCATGTCATGACATGCAGATGAGAAACAAAGCTCTGAGTCCAAAAGCCCCCACCTCACCTCACCCTCCTCTGAAGAACAGCATCTCCCACACGGAGCTGCTGGAGGGGAACCCACTTGTTCACTCCCTCCTACTCGCACGGTTTGTGCACACGACTGTGGCCCCATCTCCCTGCACATGATGGGCCACGTCACTTCGGAGAGCAGAGCCCGAGGCTCCTCTCCTACCATTTCCTACTTACTGACCTTCTCACTGAGGGCAGTGTGGAGTTCCGTTTCCAGACGGCTCCTCTTCTCCTCCCACTCCCTCAAAGCAGTGTGATATTCTTCAGAGATCCCATTCACGGTCTCTTGCAGTTCCGTGCCGGTGCGAGCAAATTCCCGCAGCTATGCAAGAAACAAAAGTTTGGGGTGGGGGGAAGAGAGACAGGTTTCCCTTCATCTCTGCTCCCTCTGCCTTTAACCATGGACACACATTCCCTTGGCCCAAGGGCACAGCACAACAAGAAGAGCACCGTGAGCCCTCCCTGTAAGGGACAGGCAGTTGCAAGCGCATCTGTGCAAGAGATCAGCACCAGTGGAATGCCTTGTTGTTGTTGTGCATGTGGGCCAAGCCTGGTGGTCTAAGCACATTGGGGGGGGGGACCCATGGCCCTCTTGGTGCTCTTGGACTACAACTCCCAACATCCCCACAAATCCCCCATAATTGCTCAGGAACAATACCTATCCAATATGTGGTAGCCATATTTCTAGGGACAGGGCTGGACCTTAGAAAAGTTGCTGTTTTGTGAAGGGGTGTGTGTGTCACGGAGGCTACAGTTTCCAGAAGCCACCCACCTACATTGCCAACCCTTAGAAGGTCTCTTAGTATGGTAACAAAGCACACCTTTGGCAGAGGGTCTCCAACAGAAGAGCAAGGGGCAGGGCTCCTCTCTGCCTGTGACCACGGAGAACCACTGTCAGAGCAAGCAGTGCTGGGCCAGATCAACCCATGACTCTGCAAGGCAGCCTTATTCTGTTTTTCTGAAATCCTCCGTGTGGGGCTACCTCCGCTTCCTCAGGTGCACTGGGAACCTGTCCAATCCAGCCAGGAACTGGCCTAGTTCCCCCTGCAGCCTCAAATTCCACGACCACCTTGCTGCCCTTCGGTTCTGTAACACACACACCCCAGCAGAAATTCTCTCCAATGACTCAACAAAACATCTCAGGGCAGGTCAGAGGAACTGAGGATGACCTGAACTTGGAGCAGGAAGGCAGGCACCACGTCAGTCTCAACATTCAGAACTGGGGGCAGGAAACAGCCCTTCGGCTCCACAAAGAAGTCTGTTGGCCCAACAGAGGAGTGGCTCCTTTGCTCTCCCACCGCCGCAGATGGAGGGACTGCAGAGTTGCCGCCGAAAACAGGCACTCACGTACCCTGGAGGTGAGATCCCCGTTCTCCTCTGAGAGCTGGTTGATCTTCCGGTCCATCTGGCCTTTTTCAGTTTTCAGGTCTTGGCACTGCTTCAGCGTCTCATGCAGGCGCAGGAGGAGACTGAGGGAGAAAGAGAGAAAGGCTAAGCACTGGACCTGCTTCAAGGAACAGGCAGAGTTGCCTGAGAAGTGTGGCCGAATGCCTTCAGTATGTGGGGTTGAGGTCCGTAGTTCAACCTGCTCAGTTTCCCCCTTAACAGGAATGGCCAGTGTTCCTACTCCGCCTATGTTTGGCCAAAGGCTCCACCTTACTCCTGTAGGTGCCAAAGAGCCCTTGGCCTTCCTCCCTACGGTAGAGCTTCTCTAGTAAGGGCTTATGTTCATATGCAGTGGCTCTCTACAAATGCCCAGGCCATGCCTGCCCATCTGTCTGGCCTTTAGGGTCAGGACTTCCACTTGCAGCTTGTCATGCCACTCTCTGTGGCAAACAGATCCAGCCATGCCTGGGGAGGGGAGGGAGGAGAGGCAAGGTATTACAAAGACCAGGGCTCAAAACTAATGCAGGACGTGTTCCACGAAGCACCCGAAATCCAGCCAAGAGAGAATCCCATGAGACAACGGGGGGCTGCTGTGGGAAGTACCTTTCATTCTTTTCTCGGAGCTCCTCCATTTCCTTGGGCTCCAGCTGATCAGCAGCTTGTCTCTCATGGAGGAGAGTCAGGCGGTCGATCCGTTGCTTCATGACCAGGATTCTTGTATCTAGGACAGAACGGCACAAAGAAGGACCATTCAGAAGCTGACAGGTCCTTTTTCACAAGAGGCTGGGCTCTACAGCAGACACCTATTTATTTATTATTTATTATTTGAATTTATATCCCACACCATCAGGCAACCAAGCCACTCTGGGCGGCTACTTACCTCTCCATCTCAATAAAGACAATCTAGCAGGCAGGATGTGCTCATATATTCTACTCCCAAGCAAACTAAACATCGTAACTGCACAAAGTAGGGACGAGTAGAAAAAAACATGAAGAACTGGAATGAACTGGGTAATTTACTACTGCTATTAAAGATGCTGGACAGCAGCTAGCAGTACAAAGAGATGCTGCTGGAGTACACGGACCCTCTATGTCAATTCATCAGAGAAACCAGCTTATGTTCAAGAACACCAGGTTGTTTGTTACAACCCACGGCAAGCACAACAGTACTCGGTGCAGTGATTTAAAGGGGTCCTGGGAGGCATCTCTGATGCTACTGCTACAAGGAACTATCCAACTGAGCTGAGTGTCAAAACATCCCCATCAGCCCCACCTAAATGGATGCTTCCCTCACTACCATTCAGAGACGGAGGGAAGAAACCCTTGCCCATGCCAGTGCCTGAGAGCAGACCCGAATTCCAAACAGTCCTTCCAAACACAGTGCATGCCACCCAAGGGCGGGAAAAGGGCACGGCTAGCAACACAGGCCTCGCCCAAGTCAAGATTCCTCACCTTTCTCATCAATGAGCTTCCGATTCTCCGCCAACTCATGCTCTAGTTCATCTCGGTTCTCTCGCTCTGCTTCTAGCAACTTCTTCAGCCTCCTAATTTGAAACTGAGGAGTCTGCATGATGTCGCCCATGGGAGAGGCAGATGACCCAGGGAGTGGCCTGCAGAGACAGACCATAATTTCACTTTTAAAATTAAAACAGTCTTATACCTAATAAAGATGTGGCATTGCCAACATCTGATGTCAACATCCTCGTTCCTGTAAAGTTATTTAAAATTTAAGTCTTGCAAACATGGGAGAATGACTTAAATCCTCACTGAAGCACGCTAATGACCCTTTTCGAAAGGGGGTTAGAGGGCTGACACTCTCAGCCTACCTCTCCCTACAAGGAGAATCTCCTGTTCCAGCTGCCGAGACACAGAGTCGCCACAAGGTGGCAGAGCGATGGATGGAGAAGGGTGCTTCCCAGGGCCAGGCTTCAGAAGCCTCTGGCATGGGTTACCCTCTCCTACCATTTCTACCTCACCTGACGCCTTCACCCATGGCTCCGAAAAGGGCTACAGTCCTGCTGCCTAGCCTCAGGAAGAACCTTCACAAGAGAAGTAAGCAAGCACGTACTTGTTCAGACTGGACGAAGAGGCAATCTTCTGCAGCTTCAAGAAGGACACCTGTTGCTTCGGGGGGGTGCTTTCCTCCGAGCTGGTGCTCGAGACGCTTGATGACTGTGGCACTGGAGGAAGAGAAGAGCGGGCCAGTAGTCAGGTGACACTTAGCAGGGGGAACCCAAGAGAAAAATACTAAAGCCAGGATCCATTCCTGAAAAAGACAACTCCGGGATCCGAGAGAGGAGCAAGCTCTGATCTCTGAAGCAGGTGCAGCCGATGATAAGGATGGTCCTACGTAGCACAGTTAATACTAAATGACCGGACACCGTCCACTTGGGCTCTGAGTCCCAGAGGGCAACTCCTCTTCTGAGGGCAATGGCCAATTTCTTCCCCAAGCCTCTACTATGGGACTCCCCGCCCCACCCTGCTGCACACAGTGAGGCTGCCAGCAATGCCAATAACTTGGTGAGCCTTCCACACAATGGGGCTGTGTTTGGACATAAAAGGGAGTCTGTGCCAGGGAAGTACAGCCACAGCGCCAACCCAGGCAAGCAGCTTCCCTTGTAAGATGGAGCCATCTTTTCATGCGAGCATTTCCCAGAGGCCTCCAAAGAATAGCCACACCAGTTGTCCATCTTCAGCATCTGAAATGCTGCGCCAACACACATCTAGCTTTTAAGGTTCACACTCACAATGACTCTTTCGAAAAACTTGTCCGATATTGACCTGTTGGCCTCTCCCATCTTCTTGCAGGGAAAGAGGCACAATCTAGTCCCTACCTTGCCCAAAGAGTGTGTATGGAAAGGAAAAGGACAGTGACTTGACAGAGCCCTCTCGGAACTAACATCTTGGTCTCAGCTAAGATATTCTACAGCTGAACAGGCAGCAATATTTGACTGAACACCCTCCAACACAGCCAGAAAAATAAGTCACTTCTCATCTTTTTTCTGGCTTCTTCACACAAGAGGCACAAGCCCACTGACACTGCATCTGGGGAGCCAGTAAAACACCCTGATCGTGGATGTGCCCTAAAAACCACAGAGGGCCACTGACGAACACAAACGATGCCTGCCGCTCAGACTCCGGCCACTGAAGCAGACTCCACAGCGTCCCCGTGTTTCAATCACGCCCGCTGACCCAGGACTTACTTTTCTTTTGAAGAAAGATCTCCAGATTGTCACTGAGGCACTCTTCATTGTACAGCATAAAGTTCAGGAATTCAGCCATTTCTGCCTGAGGGTTAGGGGAGGGGAGGGAGAGACAAACAAAAGAAGGACAGGATGAACAACTGTGTCCCCAAGCACATAGGAAGCCAAAGACTGTCCACAGAAGAGAGGCCAAGCCAACGGCCCCCGTAATCCAAGCCTGCTTGTTGTGCTTTTGAGGATGCCACCTTTTTGGGAAACCAGTAGTCAGGCAGCACCACCTAGAAGACTGAGTAGTTATTCTTTTTCATAAGCTTTCATCCACCTTAGCACACTTCCTTCAGACATGGCCATACAAAAGCTCATGGAAAATAAAGAGGAGCTAATCTTAGAGGCATGCCATGAATTCCGGCTTCTCTTTTGCTATAACAGAGTCACAAGGCTACCAGCTAGATCACCCTCTGGGGAATGTTATTTGTCTCCAACGGTCTTTTGCAGGCAGCATGTTTTAGTGCCATGAAAAGGCAGCAAGGGGTTGGTTTCTTCCTTTGTTAGTATTGGATTTTTACCCCCAAGAAGAGAGAGAAGCCCTCCTGCAATTCTCTCCTCATTTGCCAGCTCTGGATACCGGAGGCAACCCAACCTGGGTGGAGTGGGCACCATCAGGAAGCAAAATGTCTTGGGCAATTCTGCCTCCAACTACTACTACTACCCCAATTTTCTGTAGCTTGAGGTTCCAAAGGAGAAACGCTCACTGAACAGCCCCATACAATCTTTTTTTTTTAAAAAGGGTCGTGGGTGTAGGACCAAACAGGCCATTGAGCCAAAAGGAATCTATAGCTGAAGGCAGAGTTTTTGGGTTACCTGGAGGTCATACTCGACAGCCGCCCATTCCCTTGGAATCTTATCACTCATAGAAGCACAGTAGAGCAGCAGCATGGCCACCTGGAAAGAGTCAGAAACAAAGGGAAATCAGACCATGTGCCCCTTGCACAGCAAGGCTGGCCTGGCCCCAGCAAAGCCCCAGCACAGGCAGAAAATTAAAACCATGAGACAACGCAGCAATATTAGACCTGAACACTATGGGCAGAGCAGCTGCCAACCAGAGTCCTACGAAGATTTTCAGGATGAGCACCAGATGTGATTCAGGACTGCCTGCTCTCTTTTCAGCATGTTCTGGTATCTCTAGCCCAATAACAGTTTCTCCAGGTCTTCAAGACACTGCAGGCATAGTCTCAGAGAGATATCCACACATGTTGAGAGGAGAGCAACTAAACCATGGTAAAAGGTCTAGAGATGGATTCCCTCTGAGGAACAACTGAGAAAACTGGGCACGTTTAACCTGGAGAAGTCTGAAGGGCAACATGAGAGCCGTCTTCAACAATACGAAAGGCTGCCATTTCGAAGAGGAAGCAAGCTTGCCTTCTGTGACTCCAGAGGGCAGCAGGCCCTGAAGGAATGGGTCCAAATTGAAAGAAAGCAGACTTGAACCTCTTGACAATCACTGCAGTTTGACAGTGGAGCAGCCTTGCCTTGGGAGGATGGTGGTGGGCTCTCCACTGGAGGGCTTCATATAGAGGTTAGGGGGGCACACGTCAGGGACACTGTAGCTGTGGGTTTCCTGCTCTGGCAAGGGGCTAGACCTAGTGATTCCTGGGGCTCCTCCAGCTCCCCAGTCCTATGGTTCTCTGATTGGGAGACAATAAGATAGTGTAGAGAGTTTGCTAACCACGTCTGCTCATCATTTCAATACGGTTAAGATGCCAGAAAAGCCCCTAAACGCCAAGAGCCAAAGACACAGAAGTCATGCCGATACCTTTGCTAGTTCCAGTTCTTCAGCTGCCAAAAGTTTCTCTTCGGATACCAGTCTCTGGGTGGTGGATTTGTGCTTACAATGTTCTGGAAGGTGCATGATCAAAACAGAAAGGATCCATGAATTCTATGGCAGCACCATCCAACAAAAGCAAAGCCTATCCTGTAGTTCTGGAACTCACAAAACTCACTTTGCAAATTCCCCCACCCCTCCCTCAGGGAACCAAAGCAACCAGGGGCCTTGAGCCGAATCCTGTTCTGGTCAGAAGGCGGCAAATGTCTCTTACGAAACTGGGAGGAAGGTGGTGCAACATTCAATAAGGATGGACACACAGGGTTTGGGCAGGAAACACTGCTTCTCGGCCCTTTCGCAGTGCATTTTGCTCTCTCCCTCTTTGCTTTGAGCTTTTGGGCTCGGAAAGGCTAAGATATTGGGGGAGGGGGGTTTGAACCCCTGGGAGACATTTCATGAGAGAAATAGCATGTGCTCCTTTCTCCATTAGCTCAACAGCCTACCCAAGAAACCAACTTCCCAGGTCTTGGAGATGCGACTACAGTGGCAGAAGAAACAGAAATGAATGGTAGCCCCACCATGGGGCTCCCATGGAAGGAAGGTGGCTATGCCTCTTGAAAAACATCCTCACTCCCAGAGATTCCAGAGTGGAGCCTGGTGCTGGTGCCCAGCCATCAGATGTGATGCACAAAAAATGCAATGAAAAAGAGGCATGGCTGTCTTTGGTTGCACCTGATTTGTGGGGCTTAAAAGAGCCCTTCTCTGGATACTTGGGGCATGAAAGCCTCACTGCCCGGCAACCGGGGGATCTCTAATAGGCTCCTTCCCCCAATCTCCTGGATGGGGATGAGGATAGGAAAAGGCGGATGGGGACCTTCAGGCCTGCCATGCTTACCCCACCTCCCTCCGGGGCATAGGAAGAAAGAAGGACTTGTTGGCCCTCCTAGTCACACCCAATCCTTCTAGCCTCACTATGGAAGCTTCAGGTCTCCTAAGCTTAAGGAGTCTGCAGCTTTAAATCTGGGAAGGAGGTGGCTGCCCCTCTCATTACATGAGCTGTCCTTCAGGACCAGAGAAGGAGGGGGGGGCCCTTAGAGGACAAGGCCCTGTTGTCAACTCATTTGTCCAGCTCCTTCCATATGATGAGTGGGCGGGGTGGGGAATGACTCCGGCAGGTGTGTCTGCCGACAACAGAAGAACAGACACCTACACTTCTGACGGAGTTATCTCTGCAAAGGCCGGCTATGTGAAGGATCTACAAAAGGCTAAGAGAAACCAGGCGGTAAGAACACTTACTTTCAAGGAAGCTGACAATGTAGGCCACTCGGTCGGGCATGCTTTGCTGCAAAGCGGCCTGTTCCTCTTCAGTGCCATGGCTGGAAGAGAACAAAAAGGTCACTTGGGAGGGGACAGAGAAGAAGTGACTCAGCCCTGGGGAATCCTAATGGTTCAAGGACTTTTAAGATCCAGTGACAACTGAGGAAGACGTGCACACATCGAAACAAGTTAGATCGCTTGAGGTCATTTGCCTCTTTAGCACAACCTGTGGTCTGCAACACCAAAACGTTATTTGAAGCCTGGTGCTATGCCACCTGACAAAATGACACCTGAGTTACTGTGACTCAACCTTGATGGAACTGGACTCTCTCGTTCGTTCGTTTGGTTGTGTCCGACTCTTCGTGACCCCATGGACCAGAGCACGCCAGGCCCTCCTATCTTCTGCTGCCTCCCGGAGTTGTGTCAAATTCATGTTGGTTGCTTCACAGACACTGTCCAGCCATCTCATCCTCGGTCGTCCCCTTCTCCTCTTGCCGTCACACTTTCTTAACATCAAGGTTTTTTCCAAGGAGTCTTCTGGACTCACTGCTATGGGTCATTCACAGGAGACTGGTGCATACTGGGACAGAAGTGTCATTCCGTTACATTAATCAAAAGGGTTTCGGTCTTTTGGCTACTATTCTGTTATTAAGGAAGTAGAAGGGGACCTCTATGAAATTAACAACCGTGTGCCATGAAGCCAATTCTGACTTAGGCTGACCCTCTTCAGGGTCTCTGGGTAGAAAGTACTCACAGGTAGTTTCCTACTCCTTTCTTCTGAGGGCACCCGGGGACTATGCTGCTTGCCCACAGCGACACAGGACAGCTCTACTTCTGGAAGTCACCATGAGGACTCAAACTCCCAACCTCTCGCCTCACACTCAACTTACTGAGCTACCCAGCCAGCTCAGAATTTAGAAGAGGAGACTTTTTTTAACTCTGCTATCAATGACCTTTTAGAAATAACAGCCCACAAACATGTTTCATCCTTCCTGAGAAGATGGCAGCAGTAAGTAATTACTTTCAGTTCATCAACACCATCAGTGTATCTTGACGGAAAGATATATCTGGAGCATCTGGCCATATTCTTGTAGCAACTCAAGCAGGTGGTTTGGCAGGGAGCAGAAGAGATCCTGACCATTACAGCATGACTTCACACCCTCACGGAGAAGACCAGAAACAAGCCTCCAGTGAAGTGACCACTGTCCCTTGCACCCTTGACCTCTTTTGCTTTTAAAAAATAAAATAAAATCACAGCTGCTCAGATCCAGGTTACAAGACTTGTGCCTGTGCCGACAGCAAACACAGCAACACACTCTGAGCCACTAGAGGGAGCCAGCCGCATTCTTTCTCGAATTTGCTCTACTGTGCTGAATTCTCAAATGACAGAAGTCGGCCAGGATCAGCCCGGGCAACACTTTCTCAGAAGCTTTCAACCATGAATTCACTGGGGTGATCAAGAGCCCTGTAGCATCTTGAAGAGTAACATGTTCATTTACAGCACGAGCTTTTGTGGACTACAGTCCATTTATTCCACAAAGCTTCACAGCCTTAGTTTACAAAAGCTGACATTACATTACAAATACGAGTACTATGCAAAACGTTTGTTCTCCTATGAGATGCCCCTGAATCCTGTTTCCATGGCCAAGAGACTAAAATGGAAACCTTTCTCTGTCAAAGTTTCAACAAGCCACCTTCTTTGCACACCGGTGTTTCCTGCAGCTCAGAGGACAGGCCAAAGACTAGTGTCTGCTTACAGTTAGCTTAGACTGCTCAACAGAACATGGGTGATTGATTCTGGAGTTTCAACACAGTGATACTTAAATAATGACTACAGAAGCTGGCTGGACAGCTCAGTGGAGCCAGAGGTCAGGAGTTCAATTCCCTGCTGTGAACCTTCAGAGAGAAGAGTCCGCCTGTGTGGCCTTGGGGCCGGCTACACGGTGGTCCCAGGGCAAGCCCAGAAGAGGAGAACGGTAAACCACTTCCGAGTATTGTTTTTAAAAACCTGGAATTTATACTTGACAGCACACAGTTATTATTACTAATAACTACAGAAGAATTACACAGCTTTACTGTTCATAATGAAGAAATTAAAATGGTTAAATTATTTTCTATTCAGTCATGAATCCAAACTGAGACCTCAATCCAAGAAATCAGAAGAAGCCTGAGATTTGCAAGGACAGTAATGAAGGAACTAGAAAATATGCTACAAGTAGAAGGATGTGTCACTGGAGACCAATGCCAATACCATTTACATGATGGTTCTTGCAATCCTTATGCACAACTGTGAAAGTTAAAATGTAAATGCAGCTGACAGGACTATGTACAGATATGAAGAAAGCTGACATGAGAATGGTTCATTCAAAATATGGCGCTGCATAAGCTTTACGAATATCATAGACCAGCAGAAGACAAATGAATGGGTTCTTGACCAAATAAAGCCTGAACTCTCAGTAGAAGTGAAAATGACAAAACTGAGGCTACTGTACTGTGGACATATCAGGAGAAGACAAGACTTGCTGGAAAAGACAATAATGCAAGAAAAAGCAGAGTGCAACAAGAGAAATATCTAGCATGAGATGAATTATTTTAAAAAAGAAAGCTGTGGTCTTTCATTCGCAAAATCTGAGCAGGGCTATTATTGATAAGATGCTTTGGGGGTCATTAATTAAAAAGGTCACCATAAGTTGGAAGTGATTTGATGGCACATAACAACAAGAACAGCAATAATAGCAACAACAGTGAAGAAGTCCAGACAGACAGACAGACAGACAGACCAAGTTATGCATATGTAGGGAACCTTTATCAGACGGGGGCTCATCTCTTCCACCTTGAGCGCAACCACATTTGAAACTGAATGGGATAAAGATATGCAAGCCTCTTTCCAGCTGTACAAGAGATCACCCCTCTTTGTCACTCCTGTTACCTTCAGAGCAAGAAGGGACATCTGGGGATGCAAGAGACTCCATAATCCTTGAATCCCACTGCTCACAAAACCACTAAGCAGTGGCAAGAAAATAGCTGCTCTACCTTTCCCCAACAAGGTGGAGCAGGCACCTGAAAGAGAAAGCGTCATGCACTTCCTCGTTTTTTTTCCTGCTGGAAAAGGGGAGGGGCCAGGTGAGCCTTTGGAAGCTCTGCCCACATCGAGGTGCTCCAGTGGTCCTCAATCTTGGGCCTCCAGATGTTATTGAACTACAACTCCTAGAAATCTTGGCCAGCAGAGGTGGTGGTGAAGGCTTCTGGGAGTTGCAGTCCAAGAACATCTGGAGGACCAAAGTTGGGGACCACTGCTCTAGAGCAGAAGTTTTCAAACTGGGGTCTCCCGATGTTCTTGGACTGCAGTTCTCAGAAGGCTTTTCACCACTTGCTGTGTTGGCCAGGATTTCTGGTCAGCTGCAGTTCAAGAACGTATGGGGGAATCCAGTTTGAGAACTGCTGCCCTAGAGACTGAGTAGTCAGCTCCAACTACTGGAGCCAGCTTCCCACTTGTTTCCTGAAAAAGTGGTCTCATGGGTGGGGTGGGGGGTAGCCCTTGCCCTAGGGCAGGGCAGACTGGTCATAAGACACTGCTGGATTAATCCTGGCTGCTTCTTTTAGGAGCCCTATAAAAAGGAGGTCCTTGCGGGAAAGACTGTGGGTCTAGCTGAAAAACTCTGCTAGAGACTTGGGGAATCCTTATCCTTATCCCAAAAAGTGTAGAATATTCAATGTTCACATAACTTTCTGCTACTCCAGGGAAGAGACACTGTTGATTCCTGAAATCTGGCAGAAACTTACCAAGAAAACCCTAGAGTTTTCTTGTAGAATCCTAAACTATTTGTGAGCTGTTACTGCTGATTCAGTGTCTGCGAAGCAACCAACATGAAATTGACAGGGAGGCAGTGGAAGATAGGAGGGCCTGGCGTGCTCTGGTCCATGGGGTCACGAAGAGTCGGACACGACTAAATGACTAAACGACGACGACTGCCGATTCATTAACATCTTCTCACCCAGCCACCTTCACAACCCCAGAGATTTAAAGCAGACCTTCCCCTGCACAATGCCTAGCCCAGCTGCTTTGGCCTGCTAATTTGTTAATTTCAATTCAGGACCAGATGGAAGGAGAGTAAGCAGGGTTTGACTAAATAGATCGTCTGCAGGAATTTTTTGTCTCCACTTTCCCCAACACAACTGGAAGCCGCTTCTAAAAACACAACTTCTGTTCCAGTTATCTTCAGCAGAAATAACCAACATCAAGGCATCTACATAGAAGGCTTGCTGCTTAGCACAGGATGCAAAATAACTTCCATCAAATAAAGGAAATGAAGATCTTTCTATCAACAAACTTCCATCAAATACAGGAAATCATTATATTTAAACACATTCTGAGGTTAATTCAGAATCTGGTCAAGAAACCTTTCATGATCCTCAATGCCAATAGGGGAAGTTTAGAAAGTCCTGGGTTTTTAGTTCAGAAAACATTAACCACCAAGGAGGGATACACATAAGATGCATAGGAATATGGACAGTCCTGCGAGGGTGAATGGCCTGTTAGTTTCTCAAAAACACAATGAGTGAATGAATGAGTGAGTGAGTGAGTGAAGTGCAACATCTGCATCAAACAGCTGATTAAGAAACTGAGCTGAACGAGGCAGAAGGTGATTACGTTCTAATATGAGAGCACAGCCCCTTCCAAAACACTTCAGCTCAGCTCTAGAAAGTTCCAAGACATTCTGTGTGTGCAGGAATAGCCCATGAAGAAGATATTATTCCAATGAAGAAGATATTGGAACCATGAAGAAGATATTATTCCAATGCAAGACATAGTCAACAGTTCATCCCACAAGAAGGCAAAACAGCCACAGCGAACCTGATGTGGACAATCAGAGATTGCTTCCATGAATTCACCTAGCAGTGCTTATTAGTCTGCAACAGAAACAGGAGTTCACCTCATTTGCTTTCTGTCTCTGATGGGCCCAGTGTCAGGGACAAACAGAGGACAGCTTTGTCTGCATTGCCACCGACATGTGCACTAGCAGTCGTTTTGTGCTACACTTCCTTGTAACTTCTGAATCCTACTAAGATTTTTCCCAAACATTTGACAGAGATGCATAGGTCTAGTCTACGTGGCTGCTGCGAGAACTCATTAATACATCAACAAAGTGTTTGATTCAGTACAGTGGTGCCTCGCTTAGCGATGTTAATCCGTGTAGCAAAAATCGCTGCTAAGTGATAACATCGCTAAGCGATTTTAAAAAGCCCATAGAAACGTATTAAAACACGTTTAATGCATTCCTATGGGCTTAAAACTAATCTTATGCGAAAATCCTCCATTGCGGTGGCCATTTTCGGTGCCTCTAAAGCGAGGCAAAACAGAGGGCAGCCATTTTTTTCCCGGTGGCCATTTTGGAACCGCTGATCAGCTGGCTGAAAATGGGGGCTTTGCGATGATCGCTTCCCCGTGATCATCGCAAAGCGAATTTTCCCCATAGGAAACATCGCAAAGCGATCGCTTTTGCGATCGCAAAAACAGTGTCGCTAAGCGATTTCGCCGTAAACCAGAGCGATCGCTAAGCGACGCACCACTGTATTTGGCAGTGCGCTAACATCCTGAGAACAGTTTTTTTACTGTGTCCTTGTTCTTCAGGCAGATTATTTTCCATTATACACACTCTGACATCCGAGCGTTCAGCCTGGAGGCAGGCAGTGCAGCATGGCCTCTCCCATTTTGAAGAGACCCTTGTTCAGCAGGCCGAGGCAAAGAGGCAGTCCCGAAACCAGGAAAATCAGGGAGCTGGACAGGGGACAGATTGTAATGGTCTTCAGTGTGGAAGGGATGGTCACTCTTCAATTGGCCTTCTCAGCCCCATGAGACGCTGTTCCAAGACCTCTATTCAGAGCATGTTACCATAGTCTCTCGAGACTGAAGGATGCCTACTACATTCAAAATAGAGACCAAATCAGGATGAAATATCTAGCTAGCTGCTCCATTCCCTGGTTCTATAAAAAGTGATAGGTTTTCTAGTCATCAATGCTCTGTGCAAATACCATGAGCATGACCGTTGCTTTTTTAACATGCTGACCAAATTCCTATATATTTGGGGAGAGGGGGAGCAGTTTAGAAGCTGCAGCATTCAACTTCTTGTCACGTCTCCCAGAAAAAAAATGAGTTTGTCCATTACTCCACGTAGTGGCTACATCCTGTAAAAAGGAAGGCAAGGTAAGCATCTCAGTGCCTCTTACATTTTGTTGATGATCTTGATGAAGATGCCACAGTCCTGGAGCTGAGCTAACGAATTCAAGGTTTCACCCAGCTTCAGGCTGTTCACCTGCAAAAGAGAGGGTTCAAATCAGAAGCGGGCTACCTTTTAACATACCAGTTAAGGGATGAAATCCACACCTTACAGTTCTTCAAATGTGTCAATCTGAGATATAAAGAGAAACCACCCCTGAATTGTAGTTCACCCACACATATAGTTGACAGAAACCTTCATTAGGAAAATGGGTGGAAAATGAACAGTACATGACATGCCAAGAATGATGAATTGAAGGCTCTTAAATCTCAAAACGGGTGGTGAAGCACAGGGTGGAAAGATCCTCGTTCAAACATTAGCAACCAGTAATGAAGACAAGTGTCTTGATGGGATCAGTAACTCTAGAGGACAATGTATCCTTAATACTCTTTCCCAACTTGAATATTTAATTACTGCACCTGCCTCTGTAATAGCTGTCCAACAGGATATAAATTTATGTTAATTGACTGGAGGCCTTCCCTCCAGTCAATTCTCTCTCTCTCTCTCTCTCTCTCTCTCTCTCTCTCTTTTTGTTATGCTATCTTGGAAATGTGTTAATTCTTACAATTGTATTTTTATATAAGTTACCGTATATTAATGTGTTAATGTATTAATGTGTTTTTATCTATGTAAGCCGCCCCGAGTAGACATTGTCTACAGGGGCGGCCTAAAAATCTAATAAATAAATAAATAAATATTGTGAATATAAAAATTGGTCAGTATGGATTGGACTATTCATTGTTGTACACCTCTTAAAGTAGTGCTTAGTACCAAGTCAAGCATTCTACAAATCTCTGGAAAAATGTATGCAAATTTCTGTGAAACCTAACAAAAATGTGTGCGGAGCAGAGGAACAGTTGATAACTAGATGGGGGAATGGCTATGAAAGACTGTACATCCTTTCCCTTTTGAGATTCTTGGAGACTTCTTTTATAGGGCCCATTCCTCTCCCCCGCCAATACAGCACTGTACACTGGGATTCCTGAATGCTACTCTATCGTATTCCTTTGCCTTGTAAGTTGTATTACTTACAAAACAACTTGCTCACTGCAAATCTCTTTAGAACTATACCAGCTAGGTTAACAAAGTCTAAATGTAAGAAAAATCCCATTACACCCCCCCCAGGCAAGTTTTCAAAAATGCTTGCCAATACACTCTTGAGTTCCTCCTCCCCAAAGCCCCTGCCCATCTAAGCAGGGGCAAAAGAGAGACTTCTACCAACACCCCCATCTAATTGCATCCCACAAATGATGCCCAAAGCCCCCCAGCTTCCAAGAGCAAAAAGCCAAAAAGGGGAGGGGAGGAGAGGGAGACAAAACCTATTAATTATGGGCCCTTCACAGATGCACAATGAGCATCCATTTCAGTGCACTGACTACAGGAAGAAGCAGCCTCTCTGAGACCGGTTCAGGGGGTGGGGCGGAAGAGGCAAATCTTCTAAACCGGAGAGGAAGAACACATGTGGTCCCTCTCATGCCTGAGGGCACCTTTCAATCAGCAACACTGGAATGAGTGTATTACTGTTTTAATAAATGCATGTTTTCACTAATCATTTTATACAGCAACATCCAACTATTACCGTATTTTTCGCTCCATAAGACGCACCTCTCCATAAGACACACCAAATTTTTAGGAGAAGAAAACAGGAAAAAAATAATCTGTTTTCTTCTCCTAAAAATTGGTGAGCCTTATGGAGAGGTCTGTCTTATTGAACACACCCTAGGACTCTTTGGAGGCTCACCCAGCCACCCCCCCCGGAGGCCAGAGGGGGCAAAATCGCCACCTTCTGGGACTCTTCTGAAGCTTCCCAAGCCTCAAAAGAGTCCCACAAGGTGGCGATTTCACCCCCTCTGACCCCCAGGAGTGAGGGTGAGTCTCTAAAGGGTCCTAGGGTATGTTCCAGGACCCTTTAGAGACTCACTCTCCCCCCCCTCCGGGGGTCAGAGGGGGCGAAATCGCTACTTTCTGGGACTCTTCTGAGGCTTCCCAAGCCCCAGAAGGGCTGGCCCCATGGGGGGTCGGGGGAGCAGTGCAAGGGTCGTGGAAGGCTCACTTGGACCCTTGCGACGCTCCCCCCACACCCACGGGGCCAGCGGGTACAAACTTGCTAGCTTCTAGGACCTTTTCTGAGCCTTTCAAGCCTCAGAAAAGGTCCTAGAAGCTGGCAATTTCACCCCTCCACTGGCCCCGTGGGGGGTGGGGTGGGGAGCCTTGCAAGGGTCCTGGAACAGAAAAGGTCCTACAAACTGGCGATTTCACCCGCGCTGGTCCCATGGGGGGAGCAGCGCAAGGGTCCAAGTGAGCCTTCCCGGACCCTTGCGCCGCTCCCCCCACCTGGAAGCTGGTGATTTCGCCCGCACTGGCCCCGTGGGGGGGGTGGCGCAAGGGTCCGGGAAGGCTCACTCGGACCCTTGCGATGCTCCCCCCCCATGGGGCCAGCAGGGGCAAAATCACCGCCTTCGCTCCATAAGACGCACAGACTCCCCCCCCCATTTTTGGGGGGGGGAAGTGCGTCTTATGGAGCAAAAATACGGTATTTAGAAAATTAACCATACAAATGGTTGTTGTGGGTTTTTCGGCCTCTTTGGCCGTGTTCTGAAGGTTGTTCTTCCTAATGTTTCGCCAGTCTCTGTGGCTGACATCTTCAGAGGACAGAAAGCCTTTGCAAATACATTAACCATACAAGCTTTGTTTTTTTTTTTTTTAAAAAAAATCTATAACTGCCTTCTCTTTCATTGCCTTAAGACCAAGATTGATTGATTGATTTCGTTTAGTATCCATATTCTATGACACACATGCAGTATTTTCTGCTTCATATACATGACTCTAGACCTGGATTCCAAGCTACTTATACTTACCAACGTTTGGTCAATTGCTACTGGTGTGCTACCGTCTTTCCCATACTGACATGCCATTTGTTTAAACTACTGTACTATGATAGCTCTAAATGTTCATATTTTGTTAAAGTTCAAGTTACTGGGGCACACGGTTTCCTTTACAATAAAAACAAAACACTGTGAATATTTAGAGATAGCTATCTGGACATAACTGTTTTATTCATGGCCTATGTTAGACCACAATGGAATATGGATTGTATGCATTCTGAGGTCTCAGTGTAAAAAGAGTAAAGAAAGAACAAAAGAATTACATCTAATCAAAAGAGTGCAAATCTAAGCCCCAGATTCCTGGCACAACCCCAAAGAAAGCCACACACCTCATTAGCAAGGCAGACTTATCTGCTAAAGGATATACATACTAGTTAGGCTTTCCCCCCATCTCCTGACATCCCAGTTCAAGAGCTTTCCCACCCAATGGAACAAGACATCTGTGCATGTCATCTGTCCCAGCGCCAAGTTGTGCACCTAGCGAAACTGAACCCTGGGACTGTTTTCAATTAACCAACTTTGAACAGAGTTCTCTAGTTTGGACCATTTACCTTTACTTTGGCTAGTCACGGAGAAGGGGCAGTAAAAGAGGCAGGGCACTTAACTCCACTGCCTCAAAACTGAACCAAACCCGCTGAATTTTTCAGCAGAAGGGCAGGTGAGGCAGGTGAGGCATCTTTTACCCATGTTTTAATACTGCAACTTACTGTGTGTGGGTTTAAAAAAATATTTTACCTGTTTTAGTGGCTCTGTGAGCCACTTTTAAACCTAGGCCTGGAATAAAAGAGGAATATAAATCAAATAAATGCAAAATGATGGAGGAGGTGCTAGAGCATAAATATCACTGGAATCTTGCGCCTTTCTTCCTTTGCTCCTTCTCTCAATTCTCTGACTGGAAAACAAACTGTTTGCTTCCAATTGCTTCCTACTTTCCCCAAAGGGAGGAAGGGGCAGGCAGGGTGAAGGGCAATAGGAGGGGGCTAACAGCTATGCAATCACTTTGGCAAGCGATTACACAGCATGGGAAGGCCAAAGGTAAGAGAAGGTGGGGAGGTGGAGACTTCTCAAAGGATAAGAAAGGATCAAGATAGGGATACGTTACCCAGGCAAGGAGAGCTGAGGCTCTCGTGTTGTGAAGCGACATCTTTGAGCTTTGCCAGGTTATCTGTCAACCTAGAAAGGCCAAAAGAAAAGGCACATAGAGTTAAGAGTTGAAAGGTAAACAGGTTTTCATCCCTATGCAAATAGCACATACCAGCACTAAGGACATGAAAAACCAGCTGTTGTGTTGTAAAGGAAATTGCAACATCTTTCACGAAAAAGACATGGCACTTTGCTAATCAGACCCTCCCAGTGAAATGTCCTGGGCACTTAGTATTGTTTGTAGTTGTTCCAGTCTCGGCTCCAGCCTGGTTTTTAAAGGCAACTGGCATTACTCACACCCTGATGAATGACCTCATGTGGGCAAGAAACTAATGGTGCAGGCTTTGCTGATCCTGCTCCATCTGTATGCAGATTTTGCTATCATACATCCAAAGTGAGTTTTATGAAAGCTTATGCTAAATGAAACTAGTTATTATTCAAAATGTCGCAAGATTCTACTGTTTTTCTGCAAAAAAAAAAAAAAAAAAAAAAGTGGATACCATAATATCCTCAATTGTCTATATCAGGGGTCCCCAATCCCTGGTCTGCGGCCCGGTGCCAGTTCGTGGGCTTCCCAGGACTGGGCCGCAGAGATGAAGTTGCCCTCACAAAGCGATGAATAACAAAGTTGACCAGTTTCAGTATTGTTTTTTATTTTTATTTTATTTATTATTGGATTTATATATCGCCCTTCTAGACAGGAGTCTACTCTGGGCAGCTCACAATATATTATGCACAAACAAATAAAACAACAATTAAAATCTACAATAATAATATGATCAAGATGAGAGAATAAACAACAAAAGCCAAGAAAGTACAATCAAGAATTGGCGGGAGGAAGGCCTGCCTAAAGAGCCAAGTTTTTAAATGACTCTTAAAAACACCCAGCAAGGGTGCCAGGCAGATCTCTGGCAGCAAGCTGTTCCAAAGTTGAGGGGCCACCGCCAAGCAGGCGCGGTTTCTTGTTCTTTTTTTTTCGGGCCTCTCTCGGAGTCAGGCCCCTCAGCCGTCCTTCCTCGCTCTGGCGAGTGACTCAGGTAGATCTAGGTGGGAGAAGGTGTTCTGCCAGGTATCGAGGTCCTAAACCGTTTAGGGCTTTATAAGTCATCATTAACACTTTGAAGTCAATGCGGAAATTAACGGGCAGCCAATGCAAAGCAGCCAGAATGGGAAAGATATGCTGGAATTTTCTCGCTCCACTAATTAATCTAGCTGCCGCACCATTTGAAGCTTCCGCATTAATCTCAAAGGTAGCCCCATGTACAGCGTATTACAGTGGTCTAATCTCGAGATTACAAGCGCATGGACTAGAGTGGTGAAGGCCCCACCATCAAGATAGGGACGCAGCTGGGCAACCCGCCACAGATGGTAATTGGTGGCGCGGACCACTGATGCCACCTGGGCTTCCATGGTGAGCGCCGGGTCCAGATGTACTTCCAAGCTGCGAACCTCGCTCTTCGCGGCAAGAGTCACCCCCCCAAAAGAGAGGGAGTTTCCCAAGCCGCCAATGGAGGGGCCTCACACCCTCAGGACCTCCATCTTGTCCAGGTTCATCCTCAGCCCATTCCCCTGCATCCATTGCAGTACGGCCTCCAGGCAACGCTGAAGGGACAGAACGGCATCCACCGAAGTTGGTGAAAAAGAGATGTAGAGCTGCGTGTCATCAGTGGCCACCCAGCGGCCTCATATATATATTAAACAGCACTGAGGAGATGATTGAGCCCTGCGGAACCCCACAATTGAGACTCCACGGGGCCAAGACACTCTCCCCAAGCTGAACTCTCATTGTGTTTCGAGCCTTTGATTTTAAACAACTTAACTAATTATTTCTTTTAATGTTTGTCAATGAATGCATTTTAGTAGCTGTTTTCTATTATGTTCACTCCTTCAACACAAGCTGAAACGAAACACATTAAAAATAGGGGAATGGCTTTCTTGCAGTCCTTGTCGGTATTAGAAAGATAAACACATAATCTGTTTTCACAACCCCCTCTTCCTGGCTCAACTCTTAACTAAACAGAACGCTACAGAGCAGAAGGCAAAAACAAAGGCTTAACGTTACATTCCTTGATAGTAAAAAAAGCTATTTTATGGCCATATAAAATCAATTTAACCAGAACTTGACAGTTGGCTCCCCTAGCCCTAGACTGACCTTTCACTAGAGTTGTTGCTAGAGAAGGAACCTGGGAACTTCAGTGTGCAAAGTATGTGCTCATTTAACCAGTAATATCAGTTGTGTATACTTCTCTGGAACTGATGTGACACACAAATGGGAAATCTCATTTAAGGGAATGTTTCTCAGTGATATCAATCCAATCATTCCACCACCACCCTTCCCCCACTAAATCAGTCACGTTATTTCCTGGTCAAAAACCTAATTCACACTGTAAGGGGTCAGTAGGACTCATTTATTCCTCTATGGTTGGAGTGATCTCCTTTATCGGAAGAACTGGATGCATGCTAAGAATACAGTGGTGCCTCGCTTAGCGAGGTTAATCCGTTCCGGATTAACCCTCGCTCTGCGAATCCATTGTTAAGTGAAACAAAAAAGTCCATAGGAATGTATTAAAACTGATTTAATACGTTCCTATGGACTTAAAACTCACCGTTCTGCGAGTTTTCTCCATTGCGGTGGCCATTTTGGATGCCTCGTTAGCGAGGCAAAACAGCGGTCGCCATTTTGTTTTAGCGGTGGCCATTCTGAAACCGCCCATCAGCTGTTCGCTATGCTTTGATCGCGTCCGCGCGATCATCACATAGCGAAAAAAGCCCATAGGGGCCATCGCGGAGCCAACGCTCCAGCGATGGCCCGGGACCCATCGCTGTGCGGTTTCATCGCATAGCGAAGTGTTCGCTATGCGAGGCACCACTGTACTTGTTAACCAGGTGCTGCTCCAGATGCACCACTGGGTTGCGTCTGACATGAATCAAGAAGAAACTGCTGCAAGCTAGCTAAACAAACAAACAACTCCCATTATACTCTTTCCAAAGTCAAGTGAGGACAGTTAACTAAAGTGACTTTCTAAGGAAGCACAGTATCACTTTGGCCAGTTAAACATAATGCTACTGGAACCAATCCATGCCCACTACAGACAACTGCCGCCCTCACAGAGCACGTATATACGCTCGCGAGACCCACCATAAACAATGTGGCATCCTGAAGAGTGACAGAAGTAGTACTGTGGTGGGAGGAGTTTACACACGCAGGAGCCACCTTATCCTTGTAAAGATAATAAGCACCATCAAGAGTGGGAGGTCTTCAGTTGCAACAACACCTCGTCTGCTCTGGTCAAGGAAAACTGAGTCACTTGATACAGAACAGAAGGATTTCTCCGTTTCAGGAACAGCAGCTACAGGCTGATAAGTTTTACTGTTGATGAGTACCTTCATTTCTAGAGTTCTCATTAAAAAAGGCAGGACAGATTTTGATCTTAGAAACCGAGCTATAATAATCACCCATCCTTTACAAGAAACAGGATGGGTAGTATGGAAACACAATGTTAAGCAGTGAGCTGAAATATCTAGATAAATCTCTCTTTTCAGAGTCTTCTTCCCAGCTCAGTGAACACACACACCTTAAATCAAGCTGCCTTTAATCAAGCAAATATTCTGCAGATACACAGTAGGGACTTTTGTCAAAAACTGCTCTTACCATCAATATGGCTAAGAATTCAACTTACAAATCTCTCAAATGCAATGTTCCTTCTAATTTTTTGGCCCTGCTCTGCGGGAACCTTGCCCTGTGCGCATATGTGCAGCAAGGTTCCAGCTGAAAACTGAACTAAACAGGCTGCCGGTGCACTACCCTGATGGAGCTCTGCACATGCACAGTGTAGAGGGAACCCCATATTAGCATCAGTCTTCTTCCATGCATATACAGACCTACCACTTCAAAGAGTTATTTTTCTAGACAATTCCAGAAACCCACGTGGCCCTCTTTCCCCCAAACTTTAGGGAGCACAGTATAAGCCATATAAATCACATCCAGAAGTAAGTTCCTACAGAACTCAGATTCTCTAGAATCAAATCTGATAATTTGGCAGTTGGAAGAAAAAATATGGATAATGTAAACTGGTTATATTTGCAGTGAACTTGCTGCTTTGTATCACCAACACTCCCAGGCCCAAAGCATGAAATCTGGTTTCATGGCTGGACTTAATGTTGGCCACAATCCAAAAATCCCTAAACAGAGATGACTGTTTTGTTACAGGGCAAGTCATACCCCAAAAATCAACAGGACAAAGGGAAGAGTAATCTTAAAAAGCCTCTGCAAACACAGCCCTGCTCACCGTGAGAAGGCAAAATACAGATCTGGATCTACCAGAGGATTGCTGGCTAATCTGCAACAGATCAGCGAAGACTTCTGCCTCCCAACTGCTTTATAGTGGCAAGGAAAAACCTTTCCTTCTTCCAATTTGAAGAGACCCTTGTTCAGCAGGCCGAGGCAGAGAGGCAGTCCCCAAACCAGGAAAATCAGGGAGCTGGACAGGGGACAGATTGCATTTGCCTTCAGTGTGGAAGGGATTGTCACTCTCGAATTGGCCTTCTCAGCCACACTAGACGCTGTTCCAAGCCCTCTACTCAGAGTACATTACCATAGTCTCTCGAGACTGAAGGATGCCTACAAGTTTCAAGACAGGAATTCTGGAAAGTGACCAGTCAGTTTATCCTTCCACTACACAAACTGTAAGATGGTTCATATCATTTCAGAAGTGCTGGCACTGAGGAAAGATCCTATATTCCCATCCCCAAACATGTGAACACCAAGGCACAGACTTTTGTGCAGCTAAAGGTTTTCAACTGAGGTAGAAGCTTTCTGGCCATGTTCCAACCAAAGCACAGTAAAAGAAAAGGAATGGAAAAGCAGCAACACCAGTGCATAGCCCATATTCCATATGAATGCATATGCAACCACAATATCTCTAACTGCTCACTGCATCAGCTCAGAAAGATCAACCCTTGCTTCTGTGGCTGTCAAAGTATGAGCTGTCAAAGAGGAGTACAAACATTCTGCATAGATCAGCAGTTTA